AGCGAGAGCGGCCGGCGAGGGCGCGGACCCCGGTTCATGGAGGCTGAGGCGAGGGAGGCTTTCGGAGCCTGGATGTGGAGGAGCGAAACGGCAGGACCGACTCAGGAAATCGGCTCTCGGAGAAAGGCCGAGTGAGGGCTGGGCTAGGTGCGGGAAACCTGGAGTCCGAAGGAAAAAGCAGGGGATATTTTCAGAGCTTCTCTGGTTTCGGCTCTTGCTCTCGTCCTAAAGGTAAAAAAAACACTGCTTTTCAGGTGTTCTGTGATTTTTGTTTTTTAATTTTTCGGTGTGATTGGCGCATTTCAGAATTTCAAAGCCTTTAAACCTTTAATGTAAAAGCTTTTTTTTTTTTTTTTTTAAGAAATCCACAGATTTTGTGTCCCAAGGTTGCACTGGACCTGGGAGGAGTGCTGTTGTGTACATACTATTGTATGGTTTTATTTATTTATTTTTTTTTTACCGTGCAGATCAGCTGGAAGATTTTTTTCCAAGTGCCATTTCGGATTTATTCAAATTTTTTGATTCGCTCTCTCGAACATATTATCTGCTCTTGTCATTTTAAGCGTTGAAGACCAGAGAATTATCCCCCCCCCTCGTTTGGAGCTTGAGGCTCCGTTGCCAACAGGAGGACAGCTGGGAAAACTGGATTAAAAGGATGGTTTTTATCTGTGTTTTGCAGTTAAGACTGATGTTTTGAAGGCACGTTCTTTCTGTGATTCATTTTTTAGCGCATAGTGCTAACCTTGAAGAGATTTGTGGTTGGGATTTTGGTTTCCGAGAAGGTCACAGTTTTTCCTCTTTGAGGAAGCGGGAGGGAAAGGGGGCTGAGGAAGGAGACCATGTTAACTGGTAAAAGTAGAATGGAGCTTCAGTTGCCAGGGTCCTGAGAGCTGGAAGAAAAAGGATTCAATCTGCAAGTTGGGAGGTCCTCCTTTCGTCTTTCTTAAAAATTTGCAAGGGATTCAGTTCTGATCAAGACCAAAGCTTCAAGATTCTGGAACCGTGAAGACGCTGAGAAACCATGAGTGTAAGGTTACCCCAGAGTATAGACAGGTAGGTGTGCTAACAGTTTGGTTTTTCACCACTTACGGAAGGCTGGGCTGGGAGGAGGGTGTTGCATTTTGATAAAGGGTTACAAAAACAAGTCAGGGTGGGCTGTGGTGGGGTGGGAGCCTTGGTCGCTGAGGATTGTTGGCGTGTGTTGATGTGGCCTCTGTGTGTGTCCGTATTCAAACAAGCCTCCTGATTCAGTGTCTTTTCATGTAAGCAGTAAGCTAGGAAGCCAGAGCGGGGAAGGAGGGGGAAATGTTTCCATTGGCTTTTGACTTTTGTCAGGCTAGAGGCAGCGTTCGGATCCCCGACTTGCCAGCCTAGGGCTGGGAGGCCGGAGCAAGCCTGGTCATGTGAGCTCCCGGGGTGGGTACGGGACCGGCTT